GCCCAGGAGTGGACAGACACGGCTAGGGAACTCCACAGTTGTTGGCTGTTTTTTCCTTTTCTGTCTTTTCTACTTTTCTGCATTTTTGAAATATTTCTCAATAAAAAGTTGGGGAGAAATAGCACTGATATTACCTCTAAATTTAGCATGGGTCTTGAATTCAATGACGAGACGGCCGTCCTCACGAATGTAGATTCTTATTATCTGAAGCCTTGCAGAGAGCACACTGTCCGTCTGGATTCCTGGACAGACAGACCAAGCACAAAGCAGCCAGGTCAGGCCGGACAAGGCCTTCGGAGGACCCTGCTATGTGCTAGTTATTCGCAGCACCTTGAAGTACAGCTGGGCATTTATTTGAACCTAACTTAAGACAAAAGGTAAGTGTTCACATGGGCATACTGTCTGTGGAGACTTATGTCCCCCCAAAACTGTATGACCCATTTCACTTTTCACTTGGTTCTTCCTTTACAGTTCTACCATCTTTGACACAGAGTTTTCACACCTGTAAGCACCACTTAGCGTAGATTTGGGGCTTGGCAAAAAATAAAATAAAATTTAAACAAGGATCTTAAACCTTCTTGCTACCAAGATTTACACCAGGATGTGGTTACGGTGAACTAGGTTCATAATATGTTTTATTTTCCTTCCCAGGATATCTTTCAGGACTAAACAGAGCCATAAACAAAGTCCTGGTGGCTCCATTTAGTACTGAAACCCGTGGAGGATGAAAGGGAAGTGTGTGGAAGGCCAGCTCTGTATGGCGCGGCATTGAGTAGGCAATTGCTGTCAAACGCCCTAGTGAGCTCTGGGTGACCTAAACTAAAAGGTAAGCAGAGGAAGAAAAAAATAAACTTGAAAAGAACACAACAAGACAAAAACCAAAGCTCAAGGAATTATCTGACCCAGTGTGGGAAAACTTCCTGAAGCTCTTTTCCTATGAGAAATATAGGGCAAATAAATGATTTGAGTTTTAGCCATTTAACAGAAGAAAGGACTGTACTGTCACCTGTCTGGATCCGTGGGCTCCACCTCTGCGGATTCGACCAACCATGGATTGAAAACATCTTAAAAACGTGCACTTGTACTAAACATGCACAGGCTTTTTTCTTGTCATTATTTCCTAATCAATACCACTTAACAACTACCTACCCAGAGTTTACATCATCGTGGGCATCACAAGCATCTGGAGCTGATGCAAACTCCACAGGGGTGGGGAGGAGGATGTGTGCAGGTTACATGCAAACACCATGGCCCTTTTACATCAGGGACTTGAGTGTCTGTGGGTTTTGATGTCTGCGGGAGATCCTGGCACCACCCTCCGAGGACACTGGAGGATGACTGTACTTTCAGGTACTAGAGATGAAACCCCATCTACAGAAAACTCCTACAGCCCTTAGTGTCTCTGCCTCAGATAAAGCGCATCTCCCTACACGGGGAGACAGGGAGAATGGGAGCGGCAGAAGGAGGGGGAATGGGCTTGGGGAAATGTGTCAGGTACTGGACACTGGAAATGGGAAGACAGACAATCAGGAGAATAGAAACAACTGAGCCCCCTGTAGTTAACGGGGGAGAAAATCAGGGCATTTTAAGGGGGTGTCCATGTGATGGTAGAGGGAGAAAATGGGGGGGAAACTGAGTGGGAGTGAAGTGTGGGCTCCTTCTTGGGGGCTACCTCCTGTCCCGACCTAGGGGGGCTCTCCTCAAAGAGGGCAGTAAGGGGGTCAACCTTGGGGGGGTCATTCTAAAAACTCATGCCACTTTACAATCATGTGTCCCCCATCATTTAGCTCCCACTAATTAGTGACAGGTAACATGTGGCATTTGTATTTCCATCCTGAGACACTTCACTTAGAATAATGTGAGGAATAAAATTGTGCCTGTCAGGTACAACAAGCCACATTTAGTGTGACAGACACACTAAAACCCTGACTTACACAAGCTGCTCATGTAACAAGACACTCGTTCCCACTTCATATTCTAAAATAAAAATTGTTAAATTAAAAAATACATATATAGCATTGCAGCCCTTGAAGGCCCCAAGGTTAAAATCCTGCTTTTGAGACTGCAACCAGAGAGTACGTTTATGCCAAATGAACAAAGTGGGCCCACGCCAAAAGGTGGAGGGCTCCGGACGTGCTTCTATTTCCACGCATCTGCCGAGAAGACACTTTTGCTTTGTAAACAACATGAATCACACCATTTTGAAGCAGAAGAAAAAGAATGCACATTCCCCTGAATCCCTGCCACTGGGCATCAGAGGGCCCATCTGTCACTTGCCACCCTCTACTCTGGGCTATTGGCTGTCTGGGCAGAGACTCCACACCACGAGGACAGAAGGATCCCGTTCTTTTATCAGAAGCCACACTTCTGCGCTGTCCAGACTTGCAGCAGCCCACATGGACTGTTATACAGGCCAGGCTGAGGAACGCTACTGCTGTTGAAAGTCCCTATTTATTGTTTTATTTTAATCTTGCTTCAGCGTAGGGAGGGCTAGTTAGGATGGCCACAGGCATACCTGTTCTCCAGAGGACAGTGTCGTAGAAGAAGGAGAACTCCATCTCTGTGTGGTGCTCCAAGGAGGCCCAGCCCCTGGGGGCCGTCACGTAGATGTAGGACACGTACAGAGGCACGTGCACCGTCAGGAACGACTGGGCCGAGTCTCTCACCTGCCGGGAAGCAGCGTCCACACAGTTATTTCTTCCCGGGGATGAAAAGGCAGGTGATTGTCACATCTTGCGTTCAGTTTTGTTCACTCATTTAGTCACGCATGTATTCATTCATCAAGTGCTGATGACCGTACTTACATTTTAAAAAAAAATTTAAAAAGAATGAAAAGAAGCCAGGATGTTTCTTCAGACAGAATGATGTGCAAAGGCATTTCTGGGAAGGTGACACTTAAACAAAAAACACTTTTGAAGTGTGAGAATGAATTTTGCCTGCACTGTTCAATTGCTCGAAGCCTTGGCTGAAAGTCCCTTTATTCCCTCGGGCTCAGCGTGGAGTATCTGGGGTCTACCTATTAGTGCATGCTCTGGCTGCCTGCCTGCCGGTGATCTGTAGATCAACCATAATCAGGAGGATGCCTGAGCCTGGACGTCTGGGATGGCCGTGTTCCTGCTGCAGAATCTTCTAGCAAGTACTCTCATCTCCGGCTCCAGGAACAAAGGCCACAGGTTTGGGAAATCACATCTAGGAAGTTTACTAACAGACAGCTCAGAGTTGCATAGACTTTGATAATTTTGATAAGTCAGCCCCATCACATTTCCAAGAGAACACTTCTTCTAAGAGGGTTTCTGTCATTGCTATTAATTTGGCCCAGTAATTGCAATTTTACTAGGCAATGAACAAAAGCTGGATGAAAAGATAACATTAGCAGAAGCTTATGGTGAGGCTAATTGTGTGTGTGTGTGTGAGTGGGAGAGTTGGTTGATTCAGTTTTAAATATCTTTGGTATTTTCTTCTATAAATATATTTTTATAACAAAAAAGCTTATTTAAAACAATCTTATCTAGTCCTTGGCCAAATACTATAATACACAATGGTACTTCTATTTTTCTTTTATTTGAAGATACAACATAAAGTGTTTTTATGGGTAAAGAAAAGAACCAAATGCTTTAATTAATACTTTTCCAAAGTAATTTTTATATTCAAAGTTGCCACAGATTTAAAATTTGATGTCAACTTTTCCCAAAGACTCTACTAATTCCATATTCACTTAAAACTCACCTTTTTGATGTGTCTTATTTATTTATTTAGAGACAGAGTCTTACTTTGTCACCCTCGGTAGAATGCTGTGGTGTCACAGCTCACAGCAACCTCCAGCTCTTGGGCTTAGGTGGTTCTCTTGCCTCAGCCTCCTGAGTAGCTGGGACTACTACAGGTGCCCGCCAAACACCCGGCTATGTGCCTTATTTTTTTTTTTTAAAGAAAATTTTCCAGATTTTATCTGGACTTCACATGACATTCTATCATACACAGGTTTCACTAAATACATCTGCCCCCAATCTCATGGTTAGAACTTCAATAAATTCTCTAGGTGATTAGCAAAATCACTTTTTCCTCCTTGGTTTCTGTTTATTTTCCTTTAGCTCTCATAATGTTACTTATCGGACCTTTAAAAAGAAAAGAAAAAGCCTTGACAAATGTTTACTGCAAACCTATTTTATGCCAGACACTCTGTGCCAGGTGCCTTTCCATGGTGAGATTATTAGTTACATTTTCAGATGAGGTTCAGAGAGGCTGCGTCCTGCTCAGTTCTGCTGGTACTTGATAAAGGCACAAACTAGGCCTTGGTTCTAAGTTCTATATTCTTTGTACCATAAATTAGTGGTTTGTATCTAGCAAGTATTCGCCTCTCCTTCAACTATTTTGAAAGAAACAGGTAACAAAATACTTCCATGTATATAATTTTTCCTTATTGGTTTAAAAAGTGGAATAAACAGAGAGTGCCAAAAAAAGACATATTTTAAGAAAGGAAAAAAATGTGTTAAAATTGTACTACTCAATATATAACCTGAACAAAAGATGAATTTAAGCCACATGTGAACATCTCTTATAACTGCAGAAGCCAAATGGGACTTGAACATCACAATTTTACTATTTGTGTACATACATACACACATAAACCCTTGTCTTTGAGATCATTAAGTGCATTCTGAACAAAAAATATTCCAAAGGTAATTGTAGCAAAATCATAAAGAACAGAGAATACTAATTTTTGAGAGTTCATAAGAGGGGCAAATCACTTGGTTCTACATTTCCCAAAGTGACTATAGTTTAACGGAACAGAAAGAAAACTCAGTGCCTTAAACTTGTGTTCAGTAGATGGCAGTAGTGTCTATAAAATCAGAAGAAACCAGCTGAGCAGAGTCACAAAGAAAACAACAAATTGTAATCACAGACACTTTCCCTGAACGAACACTCTGAATCCCTTTACAAGTTCCCTCTGTCAGGAAGGTTAAATTTGATTTGAAATGAAGAACACACATCTAACTTGTTTTTAGCTCCTTGAGATAACCAGTCAACATTAGACAGAACCTGTTTAGCATTAACTTTCCCGTGAGGACAGGTGGCCTTGTCTCACCAGCGCTTTGATGTAACTGCCCTTCTCTGATTCTGGCTTCTGGCTATGAATTTTTCTGTCATCCCTAATGTTTAGTGGCTTATGTATATTTTTAAAAGTATCTATATTTGCAGGTGTTGTCAGTTTCGAATGGGTATGAAATCAAAGCATTTTAAACAATTACCTCTCCACAATGCTTGGGACAACCATGACCTTTGTTGTGTTCTGAAAGATGTGCCCACCACCTGCCACTCTGACTCAATCTCCCAGCTGGGAAGGAGCATAACTCTGTGTACTGACAATCCTGCTATCCAATGCAGATCTTCTTGGCTTTTAAAAACATATACAGAGGGAATAGCATATATGCCCAGAGAAGTAAATATTAGATTTTTATAGAAAAGACTGTGCCAAATAGTAATTTTTCCCACATTAACTAGGTTTAGAGGATTTTAGGGGCTTTTTCTAGCCACAGTGCTGCCCAAATGTTATTTCACAGACACAGAAAGTCTTTCATAGATGGCCCAGTTCTGGATGCAAAGTGCTAAGTGAAACCCATCAGAAACACAGGGCCGGGTCTGGTGCTGGGAGTGCCCACCTGGAAGTCGGCAGTCACGGAGCCCCCGCAGACGTCGATCAGCTCGGTCATGTCATAATACGCGTGGAAGGTCCACACGCAGCTCTTCAGGTTCAGGTGTCTGTAAAGCTGGATGGTCTTC